TAGGGAAAAGATGGATTCCTCTTCTAAAGCAGACACGAGTGGAGATATGGTCTCGAAGCCGCAGCCATCGGTGAAGAAAAATAAGATAAAGAAGAAACCTGATAATAAGCAGATATCAGTAGATAACAAGCAACGTTCAAAGCCAGTCCACGGGAAGCAAATTCACTATGCGCCTAGGTATATCCCTAACAACGTGCATCCTATTTTCTCGCAAAATGAGCATGGAAGCATACCATACGTTCCATACGTCTATCACGTAGATCCTCGAGCATCGGAAAACACGGGTCACCAAGCGATTCCGACAAATATTAATTACCCATTTAATTCGGCTGCTAGGAAAACCGATTCCATCGTTGGGCAACGAATGCCGATTAGCCAACAACGCGATTTAAATAAAAATCAACAAACTGTTGGGCAAGCTGCGAGTCCTCGAAATATAATTGGCAATAGTCTGTCGCAATCTTCTGAAAATACGATTCCCGCAACAACTTTCAAAACATCCGTGCAAGAAGATACTTCAACTGGCAACGAAAGAGATTCCAATTTGCAATCGGTGCATTCCTCTGATAAAAATCACTTGCCATCGTTGGAAGGTACCGAAACCCCCGCGGAAATTTCTGACGGGCAAGCTGCTAATCCAAACACGAATGCCAGATCATCCACGGGCTTCGGAAACGAGTACGCGAACGAATACGAAACAACGGGCAGCGGGACCGTGGATTACTCCGATATCAAGGAAGTTACGACCGCATATTTCACGTCGAAAGCTTATGACAACGAAACTGGACACGATGAATCAACCGGTTACAGTGATTTCTTTATAAGCAGCACGGGTTCTATGAATACTGATTCGAAAGAGGATCGCAATTATAACGTCAACATGCAGAGTCGACAGAACGTTCCCACGGGAAGTCCAATGCCATCGGAACGTCCAATGGAAATTGGAACGAACATGGAAGCAAAAGAGTTAGAAAATGAAAGGGGTCCCGATGAAATGAATAACGGCGAAGAGAGCGTTGTATTGGGAAGAAATAATCCGAATTGGAGTAAAGAGGAATCAATGAACGAGGACCAGGGTTCGAACCAGGACCTAGAATCCAACGCGGAGAGTACGCAGGAAAACTTTGGCTCCAAGGAATCTTCGACCAAAGAGGAAGCAACTACGTCGATTTCCGAAGACTCTGTGTCTTCGGACGACGGTGATATATCTGAAAAGTTCAATAATAAAGACACTCGATCGAACGAGAAATTTTCTGCAGAAGATTATACGACTAAATTGCCGGAAACGGAGAATAATGCTGGTCCATTAAGGAACGATTACGGAAGAAAAAATTTCGTATCTGATAAGGCGGAAGAAAAAATGGACGGTGATGAGAGCGAAGAAAGAAATCCAGTTAGCGATTCTTTGACAGACGAGACAATATATCCCGCCGAGTCGGAAAACGATTATACGACAATTGCTGAAGATTTCATAAATAAGGACAATGAGAGAGTCGGTGCAGAGCACGTAACGACGATTCGGAACGAAAACGAGGACGGTTCTCCTTCCGTCGAGTCGACGCTGAAATCATCCAGAATCGACGACGCTGAAGGGGTAAAGGACCCATCGAACCAGGCGTTGCCTTTCTGCGACAACAGGCTGCTGCAGAAATCGATAAAAGCAGTAATTAATAACTTTGCCACTGGTGACTCCTCTGAAATGGATGGCAACGTGAACAAGGAAACAGTAGGTTCCACGAAGGGCGAAGATTTACTACCGGAAATTGTGCAAGTTCCGAACTTGAAGGGTATTTTGTCCATGCCGGCAATAGAGAACACTGTCCTGGATAAAGTAAAGGACCTCTTGTCGAGAGCGACCGGAATGGATAGAAAAAGCTTGGACAGCGATTGGGCGTCCAACGTGATAAGGGACAATTTACGCAACACGATATCAGCTGCACCTAGTTCCAAGACGGAGCTTCCACCGATGACTGTCGAAGAGCATCAATTCAAGAACGGCAAATGGATGACGAATATGGTCACTTTGGAACCTGTAGGCGATGAAACACGTCTTCCCACGCATTTACAACGATTGCATACCAACGTTAAAAATCTTATACGTGATCCAGCCATCAGTTTGCAAGCAGCTAAGAACCCTGCCGTTCAAAACATGATTATCCAAAGTGTTCGAAATACCTTCAAGTCGGAGAATGCAACCAACGACGAGACTTTGGACGATTCGGTTGTCCAGAGTATTCTAAACAGGGAATTGAGTATCGCCGAAATGGAAAACGATGGAGTTACAACGGAGATAGATGTAATCGAGTCTACCACTTTTGACGTATCGAACATTGATATGAACAAGTTTCTGGACATCGCCAGAAGCGAAGCAGGCCTGAATGATAAGGAGGAAAGTAAATTGTCCAGTTTAGAACCGACTGCGTACGAAAAGAACAAGAAAGACACATCGCGCGAAGAAGAAACCATTTCGTCTACCATGGAACCTTCGGATAAGGTTATAGTCGGAGTAACGATGAATCCTGAACCCTCTAAGGAGACTACCGTTGATTCCACTGCGGAGACAACTCAAGACATCGTACAATTTTCAGAGCAAAACGAAACGCCAAATGACATAAAAGAATTTAATACCCAAGAATTGAAAACAACGACGTGGAACATGGAAGAATTCCCCGAAGTATCAACGTATAACTCGATTCCCACTGAAACTTGGCCAAACGATGCTGCTACCTCAGGAATTCAAGGAAAATCTTCAACTATGGGGAAAGAAGATTATGCGCTTCCAGAGCATAATTCTGCAACAATGAATCCTATAGAAACTGCTGATGATACCGAAAGTACAGAAAGATTGGTGGGATTAGAACACGAAAGCACAACTAGCCAGTTATACACGGATGATACCACGCCAGACATCGCCTATTTGGGAAAAATCACCATGAAAAATGAGAATGACACGAGCGATGTGCAAAGTCTTCAAAATTCCGAGCTATTTTACATCGGTGACGGTGTAAAGCTGCCATTAGAAATAAGAAAACTAAACGATGGTTCTTATGCTTTATCGATTTCTAGGAAGGTCTGTGAACACCTATTAAACAAGGAGTGCCCCTGTTGCGTGCCCGTGAAAGGTAATGTTGTTCGTACCGTGAAAAGGAGTCGAGAAGAGAGAAATGCCGATGGGACAATTGGAACGAAGAAGAATAGAAGAATTTCCAAACGCGAATCGGCGAAATCAATTCTGCCGAACGAACGAAGGAAATATGATTCAGCTGACGACAGCTTACAGATTTTCTCGATGCCCGTGGAAACTTTCGCGAGAAGATACAATCTGTCTCTGAACTTGGAGAAAGTGCAAACTCCGTGGAATTTCGACGGGAAGGGAAAGATTGATGAGCGATCGAGAGATCGAGGGAAAAATTTCGAGAATAAGGAAGAAAACGCTGACACTGATCTTTATAATTTAATGCCCGTGAATACTTTGGGAAGCAATAAACGAGAAACAGCTATCGCGAAAGAAGAAAGCACGAACGATAATCTATACAATAATGGTGATGAAACGAGTTACGAATACCGTACGAAAAACGAGAAAGAACTTGAGAAATATCGGTATGAACGTAACGTCAATGAAAACACGAACAAACAAATAGAAATAATAACAAATGTATTACACTGGCTAAGAGATATAATTTTAAATACAAGTACTACGAGATAAATATCTGTTTATTTTTCATATTTTTTCTTTTTCTTTTTTTTAATTTTATATCGATATAACAATTCAAGTTGTCCTCTTCCTTTGTAATTTAATTAACTATATTTTAATACCTTTTTATACTATGTGGCGTTATTCTTTTTCTGACTCGCTCATGTAACGTAATGATAAAATAAATAAAAAAGATCAAAAAACTTGAAAATGATTAAACCTTTCCTAATTATTTTATCAATCAATCTTCTTTTTTTTTCTTTTTGAACTATTTTCGATATTTTAAGAATACTAATATTAATAATATTTTGCCTGTTTTTTAAATAATGTTCCCTTTATCTTCCACATCGTTTAATGTATTTTGTAAGGTTGCGTTATATGAGATATTTTGTATGATTCATACAATGACGTAATGCTAGTAGTTACCTAAAATAATTTATAGTACGCATCAATGGAAGGTAGTTTGGTTATGTTTGGCAGACACGAACTTCTGTCAACATAGCAAAGAAATGGGTTTGTTTGGCAAATCTCAGGACAAGAACCCGAAAGAAATGGTTAGAACCGAAATGATCTCTAATATCTATTCGATGTTTATAAGGAATCACGTTTCAGGTACAAGAATGGACACATAAGTTAAGGAAAGAAGGCTATCAATTGGATAGACAGGTTAGAGGTAAGCTACTAGCTAGTAAATTAGTAATACTTTACGCATTACACTCTAACGTGAATAATAATATTGATATATAGCAATTCAACGAGAAGAAGATAAAATAAAACGTTCTTTAAAAGAAGCAGCAAAGAAAGGTGACAAAGATGTCTGTAAAATTTTAGCAAAGGAAATAATACGTGCACGTAAAACCTGTAACAAGCTTTATACATCAAAAGCGCATATGAACTCTGTTTCGTTACAAATGAAAAATCAATTAGCAACAATTAGAGTTGCTGGTTCAGTATCAAAATCTACAGAAGTGATGCAAGCAATGCAGTCATTAGTAAGAGTACCAGAAGTAGCAGCAACAATGAGGGAATTATCAAAAGAAATGATGAAAGCTGGAATTATTGAAGAAATGTTAGATGAAACTATGGAATCTGTGGAAGATTCTGAAGAAGTGGAAGATGAAGCAGATGAAGAAATAGACAAAGTAAATTATTCTGATATGTTTTGAAACATATATAGCATACTAATAAAGTACTTAATACGTGTTACAGATCTTATGGGAAGTAACTGCAGGTCAATTGGGTACAGCACCTGCAGTTGTTACAGAAACACCAGGATCTATTGTAGCGTCTACTTCTGCAGAGGAAGAAAATGAAGAAGTAGATGATAAGGAACTTGAAGAAATGAAAATAAGACTACAAAGTCTTCGTAGCTAGGTGTAATATATAAATAATTCATTTGCATTGACTTTAAAAACAGCTTGCACTTATTGAACATATACATAAATAAGGTACAAATACAGTGAAAAGAATGCCTAGTATATTTCAATGTTTCCTAATAATATGTGATCAATGCTTTTAAATCGAATAACCTAAAAACGAATGTATTATAAAAAAGAAAAGAAAAAATTTTCTTTATCTATACAGTTTTTGTATCCAGCTTTTATAATCTGTATATGATTTGTAAGATGTCACCATACTTTAATTATATGTGAAGGTCATAAATACAGAGAAGCTGGCTTCTTGATTGTATTATGTTGAAACATACACTTCTTAATTTAATTACAATCACCAAAATCTTATATTAATATGTATTATATATAAACTATGATTTTAATTGTTATTGTTTGTGCACTTTCTGATTACACTTTTTGCATATATTAATATATTAATGATAATCCAAGCCTTAATAGATCACTGATAGATACATATACACAAAAAATCGTTATATTTACACATGCTTATCTTTAATGTTGCTGAGTTCAGACATTTTCAACTTCAGTATTTTAATATCAACTTATGCTAAATCACAGAATTGTTGTATTCCATACAAAATTATGTATTCCAAGTTTGATAATTGTGTAGAGCACCCCCTTGGCATATTATGCAAATGTACAGACTACCAAAAAATAGTAAATGAATTCAAATCTTATAGCATTGGTACAGAACACTATTTACTACCTAAAATGAATACAGGTGAACAAAGTTACAAATCTTTTCACTATCTAATAAGATGAATTTAATCATTTAATTTTTATTTCTTTATATTAGAACCAATTGCATCAGCAAAAGTTTTGTGGATAAAGAATCATTTGAAATTAGGTCAAGATATATCAAAACCTATACTTCTTTACTCTGAAGAACAACCAAATATTAATACTTGCAATGTAGACAAAATATGGATTCCTATTATTCCAGATTTAATACCATTCAAATTCATTTTAAAACTCTAAACTATTGATCCCATTACATTGTAATATTTATGATAAATATTTGCATATTCAAAATATATTAAATAAGTATTAAACGTTCTATATTTGAAAAAATATTCAAACTAATTAAAAAATTAACTTAAATTTTTTTATCTTATATTTCATCTTATATTTCAATATTTTTTCAAAAATTTTATTGCACAATAAATCCTTTTACATATTTCTTTTGCAACATAATATAACTTTATACATATATGTATATATGCATATTTATTATATATGTACATACATACAAATACAAATGGATTTACATAAATTACATATTAAAATTATGGTTCATTTTTGTCAAAAATTTGGGATGTAATGTCAATTATTTTTAATTTATTTTCAAAATAAATCATTAAGTTTTTACAAATCTTTGTAACATTCTCTCTTTCTCTCTCTCTCTCTCTCTCTCTCTCTCAATAATATCTGTCACTTAAGAATGTACATTTCAACGATAATAAAATCAAATGACATAAAAATGATTAAAGAATTTACTACAAATATCTTTTGTACTCTACAAAATTTTTTGTTGCTTTAACCTATTATTATCGTGCCTATCACCATCATGTTATAAATATATAATAAAAATAATATACTTTAATTATCACTGTTTAAAGAGTATATGTCTGACCTCTTTCAATATATAAGTAGCTGTAATGTGCATAAGTTTAAAGTATTTAGATTTAACTGTATACTCTTAAAAATACTATTATTTATTTATGTCTTAGCAAATTTACAAATGATTAATTACCATATTAACAATTGAAAGTTTTATCTGTGCTCTAGCTTTCCTAGGAAGTCTATGCATGTGAGGTGCCAATTTACGCAAAAAATATTTGACTTCACTTCTAATAGGAAAAATTGTCCTTCTCATTGTCCCTGAAACTTTTTTACGCCGCACAGGTTTTTGTTGTTTAGGTGATAAACATTCTACTTCTTCAAAATCCTCATAAAATTGATCTTCTTTCACATTAGCTGCTTCCTCGTCTAGTACTTCTAATGTATGTGGCAATACAACTTCTTCGTGTACTTCAAATTCTTCAATGGTCATTTTACTGTCTTCTGTGTCTTCTAAAGAGTTTGACAAAAATTCCACTAAATTTTTGTCTGTTTCATCTTTACTTTGCTTTATAACTGGTAATGTAACTGAAGCTTCACCATTTTTCACCCATGCTTGCTGCCTGGTATCAATTTCATTAGAGGTAGTAGGAGTATGTAAAATTTTAGTCCTAGTCTGATTATTCATAGTTTTCATTGGTTTTTGTTGCTCTTGTTCAGGAAGATCTATTTTAATTAATAAACCTGGAGGGATACTGGATAAACTATGCACTGGAATAGGAGCACCTAAATTTGATATATCACCAGTAAATGGTAGAATCACTTTTTTTATGTTACCTTGAATATTATTTGGAATATTTGATGTAATATGATTTGCTATTGTTATAGGTTGAAGTTGATCTGTAAATTGGATTTTCCAATTAGAATTAGGAGGAAGTGGCAATTTTCTTATCACACGATTTTCAATATTGTTAGGATCAGGCCTTGGAATGTTAATAAGAGTTGGCCGTTTAGATTTCCCACGTTTCTTAGCAAGAGGAGTGGGCTTATTAGCTACCTTTGGTTTTTTACTAGATACTAAAGGTCTTGAAAAATCTGGCTTTCTAATTCCTTTACTTGTATTAGTACAATTAGATTCTTCTAATACATCTTGGTCATCTTCAATTTTTTCTGTTGAATTGGTACAGTTCAATTGTGATATATCCTTTATAGTTGGAACTGCATCACATGGCCCTACTTTATGAAAACTTTGTCCTGTTTGAAAATGTTTCGAACAAAGTACCAACTTTCTTATTTGATTTGGAGACATTTTTAATAAATCTTCTCTACCCAAAAATTGACACCATCTTAAGCACCTGCCAATCTCATAAGCAGGAAAAGGATGGAATTTGTATCTTTCTACTTTATTCATTGGATCAGATCTTGATCTACCACAAGCAGCACATGCTTGACTTTCTAAAACAGCAGGTGGCAAAGGGTCTAATTTCTTAGGTTTCTCTGAGGAACTATATTTCGATTCAGATACAAATTCCACAACATACTGCTCAGATCCGTCCAACTGATCAGGATTTCTGATGTTGGGAACTGCATTGTCTATCAATCTGCTTTTATAACCAGGCATAAATTGGGAACAGTCAAAATGTTTTGAACAAATGTAACAAAACAAAATTTCTTTTCTTGTTAATCTGTAATATGAATCTACACCAACAAAATCAAGCCATTTTAGACATCGAAATTCTTCACCAGGAAAGTGATGGAAAGTTGCACCATCATAACCCAAACCTGGTGGATCTCGACGACATCGACCACATAGTACACAGGTTATGTTGTATAAGCTTTGCTTAGGATCATAAATCGAGGGTACTGCAGTACAGTTTAATCTATCAAGATATTCGTTCAAAAAATCCTTTTGTTCAAAATGCTTAGAGCAAACCATTCTTTGAAGTAACTGTTTCTTTGTAAGTTTATACAAATCTTCGCGACAGCAGAATTCCAACCACTTTCTACATCGAGTTTCATCATTAACAGGAAATCCAAAAAACATATATTCTTCTTCTTTATTATTTGGATTCATACGCGAACGACCGCATACGACACACGGATGTGGCATCTTTTTGAATTATTCTTTATCCCTATACTTTCGTCAAATAGACAATTCCATCTTGTCACAAGTTCATGAAAAATGTTAAGTCTAAGTCAGAAATTTTCTGACTATTGTGGCTGACATATTTTGCAAAATATGAAAATTAAATTATCTTCTTATAATCCTTCTGTATACGATGCAATTTTATGATATTTGAAGAATAAAATTCAATAATCAGATGCAATAACCCCTTCATTATTTTTCACTCCTACATGTACCTTAAATTTTAAATTCTATCTAAAAGACAACAATGTTGAGAAAATTTGGAAGCATAAAATTTACTATCGAGCACGTCCTTTTCAGAAATAAATATTAAAAATCACTTTTTTCTACATGTTGTTACACTTGTTGCGCTCTTCTTAAACTGAACGAGAGGTTATGTTGGTTATTGCAGCGTCTTCGACCTAACCTTTCATAAAATAATACATCTGTAACTCGGTGATACATTAGCTAACCTGACAAAGTCCTACTGTCAAAATATTCTTTTGCCGATAGAAAGATAGAAAAAATGGCAGAAAATTCTAACAATCCATATGATATTAATGGACAACATTTCAATCCTGATATGTATTTCCAAAAATTATTAAAAGTAAGTATATTTTTAAATTAAAAATTTTTTTTACATTTGTTTGACACTATAAAATAATTTCTTCAGGAATGTACATTAAAACAAATTATGGATCATGAAACAGAAATTATAAAAAATACTCAAATTTTACATTCTGATATGCAAACTTTAGTGTATGAAAATTATAATAAATTTATATCTGCTACAGATACTATTAGGAAGGTAAGTTTATTCCAAGTTTGCACAGATGCAATTATTTATTAGATCCTTTAATATATATGTAACATGCTCATTCATTATTCAGATGAAAACAGATTTTAAAGAAATGGAAGACAATATGGATTCACTAGCAAAAAATATGGACAGTATTACTACTTTTTCAGAACAAATTTCATCAACATTACAGGGTACTAGACAGCAAATTGCCAAATTATCTTCAGTTCATGCCCTGTTAAGAAAGTTGCAATTCCTCTTTAAATTACCTGGGAATTTAAAAGATAAAATGAATGAAGAAAGTTATGCTCAGGTCTATGCTATATTTTATATCATCATAGTGCACACACTTTCATTTAATGCATATAAGTAATTATATCTAAATAAAGATATATTCTTAATTATTTTTTTTTTAGGCAGTACAAGATTATATTCATGCGCAACGTGTATTGAATCAATATGGTAATATGCCATCCTTTCAAGGAATACAAAAAGACTGTGAGGATATTGTAGAAGAACTTAAGTCAAGACTGAGAATGCAATTTCATAAAAGAGATGCATCAACTAAATCTTTAGCAGAAAATGTAGATCTTTTGTTACAGCTAAAAGAACCAGCTGATTCTTTGTGTGCTGAATTTTTAACACATGCAGATGGAAGATTAACTGAACAGCTAAATATTCTACAGGATATGTTTGAAAATGATATCATAGAATTTATAGATATGGCTAGTTCAGGCTTTCTTAGTGACTTATGTTTAATTGTTGCTTCATACAATGATATGTTCATAAATCGGCCACCATCCGAAGATAACGAATTCACCGATGATTTTGATACAAAAGCTATTGCTCGTTTGAATAGTTTCATAATGAAGAACATGAAAAAATATTTTGACCTAATTGGAAAGAGAGTTGAAACTGTAACTGATACAGCTATTTTAGTGAGAGCACTAGATAAATTCCACAGAAGACTGCAAGCTATGAACATGTTATGTAAAGAAACAGACTTTGCAAAGTAATAAAAACAAGATTGTTTGTATAAAAAAGCATATAGAAAAATGAAAATCATAACATGTATTTCTATTTTGCAGAACAGGTACCAATATCGTTATTAATGCGGGTAGGAAACAATGTCGTAATCATTTGGACAATTTAAAAGGTCACTTAAACGAAACTCTTGTCAAAGTGAAACAAATATTGACAAATAAAGTTTCTCAAGAAGGAGATAATAATTTGGCAGAACTTCAGATATTACTTATAATGCCTATCATCGAAAAAATTAAAGGAGTTTTACAAGATTTACTGGTTTGTTTTCTTTTTTAATAATTTCTAGAAATATTATTACTCGATATTAATTGATTGAAAATCATATAATTTTAGGTCTTTTTACAACCAGATTTGTCATTCAGTTTGAAAACACAATTCCTCAAAAATTTTTGCGTGGATGAAGTTAGGGAGGGATTAGTAGTTGGATTTCTACATAATTTAATAGTCACTGCAAGTGGATTTTGTGCTGGATCTGACATTCAAAAATTTCCACCCACCCTCCTACTCTTATTGAGTAAGATGTGTATAGAGTACAAAGAAAATAATGTGAAATATTTGGTAGGATAAATAATTTCGAAGTTATTTTAAATTGTACAGTTACGAAAAGTCATTCGAACATTTTTGCATTACAGCTTACTACTACCGATAATTTGTTCAATATTGAACAATACGCGTCATCTGGAAACGTCGTTACAATCGAAACAGAGCTATGCGATAAGTTCCAAGAAGCGGCGCAAAATTTATTAAATCATTACGTTCGTATTCAAGGTTTGGCAGTGTCGCAAATGTTAAGAAAATCCGTCGAAACGAGGGATTGGTTACATACGATCGAACCAAGAACAGTTAGAGCTGTAATGAAGAGAGTCGTAGAAGATGTAACATTAATCGATACTCAAGTCGCTGCATTATACGACGATTCCGATGGTCAAGTTGATAGAAGTAGCGATAGCAGTAGGAAAACGCATAGGTACGATATTTTTTAAACAATAAATAAGATTCCGTTAAACAACATTCTTTTTTTGTAGCGTAAGTGTGTCGAGGCATCACTATAAATCAAGCTGGTCATCGTACACGTCCAATCATATAGATTCGTCATTGGTGACGAATATCCATAAGTTATTCTCAGAACGCATTGAAATTTTCTCATCAGTTCAGTTTAACAAAGCTTCCATCCTTACGGGGATCATCAAAATAAGTATAAAGGTAAAATACTTTTAGCTGGCACAGTACCGCAGTAGAAACAGGTGCTGTCGGACAGTTACAATGATAAAATAGCACAGCCATTATCCACTTTGCATCACGAAGATACCTTATTTTCTCGCGTTGCGTATACCGCATACTACGCAGTATACTTTGTGCATTCGATACTATCAAGGCTTAACATTCTATCCAAACTTTATGATAGGAACTTTTTCTTTATTTGCAGACTTTTCTAGAGTGTGTAAGATTACGAACATTCAGTAAATATGGACTGCAACAAATTCAAGTGGACACACATTATTTGCAGCTATATTTATGGAGATTCGTTTCGGATGAAAAGTAAGTTCTAGGTATCACTGTTTTACACGCAAATAATTTCACGTGAAAATTTGTTTTCAGCGTCGTCCATTCTTTACTAGACGAAATACTTGGAAGCGCTGTACACAGATGTTTGGAACCAGTCTTAATGGAACCAAGTGTAGTCGATATTATTTGTGAAAGAGGATGAAGAAATAGAAAGAGAAGTATCGATATTGTTATTTCGACTGGCGTACTGTACAGTCATTCCTAGTATCATTGTTGTTTGTAAAAATGAGTAAATATTATTACAATTTACAATATATAATATTGTGTATATTCTTGTATATTTTGTCATTAACACTGTACATTCCATAAATAAATTTTATGGCGAATCATAAGATATAACCTATTTTTTAAGTAATTATCTCTCCATCCTTTTATTCGTTTCGTATGACCGCCCACGCAGATCGAATACTACAGGGCCAGATCGTGTCAAAGTACTACAATTCAAGTAACACGATGCACGACATACATTTCTGTCGTTCCTTCTCCATCGATTCGGCGATACGATCTTTTGTCTCCTTTCCTTTACCCTCCCCACCTATCCGGGATAAAATAAACTCATCAAAGACTTAGTACTCTATAAGAAGCAGGGTCAAATGATTCTAATAAGTCTTAATTCTCTGTTACATTCTGCACTTTTGAACTATATTACCACGTAAATTTGATCGATCTTTTCGTCGTTTCTCTGTACCTGTTACGAATTCGATGCTAATTTGAGGTGAAAGTACTCGAGCTTCTTTTTTCAAATTGAAAACGTTACTCGAACGAGATTTTTCCATCGATAATTCTCGCATAATTCTCGCATAAATGACGCACAAATGTGCAAAGAATAAATGGGACAAGAGCTTATAGTATATGGGGTTCTGCCGTACCCCCTTGGCAGTGGCTCGAGTTAATTCGAACTTCCTCTCGTTGGATGAGATTCATTCTCCGAGTATCCGGCGTAGGCCTACGCACAGCATTCTACCCAATTTAATAAACTCTTCTAAATTACTCGGCAGGGACCATTCTCTCGTTCAATCATGAATTTCCCTGGAAATCCAAGGAAAATTCGCTAAATTTCGCTCGAACTGCTTCCGAATTCAATCCCATCTTGAAAGTTCATTGTGATATTTCAAATTTACGTTTACTTCGGCGGTTGTTACAGTTAAATCCGGTACTTCAAATGTTTACATTGTAACGGATAACGAGGGTCTGGGATCACTCCTAGAAACTACCTTTAATTTGCGTGATACTAGAAGGACGAATAACTCGGAGATTCTATTTCCATCTGGATGCGTGAAATATATATTCTTTCGAGAGTAGGAGAGCGATATCATCATCGAGTCATATGTAATCACACGTAATCACAGAAAACACCTGTGCACGTGTGTCTTCTCTGCGCTACGAAGTGTATTTTCGATGCCATACTCATTCCAACTTAAACCACTGTTATACGAGGTATCGATGGGCAAGAAAATTGTGTGTAATCGTGTTGTATTTTGTATATGAAGAACGAGCTTGGATCGAGTATCATAAAACGAAAGTAAGTGTCCTCTGAACGATATTATTGTATATACATACTAGATATATCGAGCAAGAGGTATCAACATGTCTCGGTGATTAACATATGTATGCGACAGCCTCAAGTTTAACGGTGCAGTCTTTCCTCGAATTACCAAATAATAAAATAACAATTACGCCTCTCGCAACAACTGTGGCATATATAAATGTTACCGAGAAATTATTCGCGAGTGATTTCATGATCGTAGATTCGCTCACGGTTCTCTGATCGCAAATTCGAAGACGACCGAAGAATAGCCATTAAACCGATTCATATTTTTTATTTAAATCTCACGAAACCGAGGCTGCCCTAATCGACGTACAATAGATTGACATCGACGGAAGAAAAGGCTACGTAACAGGGATTGTATCCTAATAAAAGGTGCGTTACTAGCTACGTAAGCTACTTTAAATCAGTAAAATGGACCCGCATGAGAAAATCGTGCGTGGATCTAGCCACGCAGAGACGACGATTATCACGAAATGACTAAACTACATATTTCGAAGTACGAGCTGACGGTCGTGCAGGAGCGCATTCTGTGGTATAGGGGCACACCGCGTGCACGCATTAATCAGCACGCTGTCCTTTTCCTCCCACTGTACTCTGTATGACTACCGTCATTCTTCGTCAATTTGCACGGTCGGACCTACTCACGGTCCTTCGATCATTATTCCTTCGTCTAACGATACGATTTTCAGGCCTCGTTATTTGAGAACGAAGATACTACACATCGAAAACGACCGAAAAGCTTTGTTGCCGATGATTCACATGGTGACCAACTATTTGAGCTGATAAATCTATTTGAAAGACTTCCACTTCACGCGTATTTTGCATAAGCGATAATAATTAGAATAATATTACGAAAACAAGGTATACACACGATGAATACATTGTATAGTATCGTCCTACTTGCATTTTCCTTAAATTATCGACGAAAAAATGCTGGAATTATTTATGTTTTCAGGTAAGGTGGAAAAAAAGAGTTACAGCTGGAGATATTTCGATTTGTGACCGTAACAACGGGCGAGAAAATTACACGCTCGTTGCTATGTTCGCAAATTAAGCTATCTTCTCGGCAGGTGGAGCAAGTTGAAAAACTACTCGTTATCAGAGGTGATTTGTCTTATAAAAAACGATCGCATTTTTTCGATTTGTATTTTCATGGTAAATTCCGAGGAAAACCGAGATAAGACACGATAAGAAAACTCGCCTGAGTAATGACCATCAAAAATTTGAACTTTAGTCCCATTTAAGGGTATATATTTGGACCTGTATTTCGTATAACGTAGTCAGTAGGCAATTGCCGAAGGCAGAAGACGCGGAGAAACAGGACCACGTTACTTTAATTTGCTAATCTGTCTGTTAAGTAGTAGTGCCGTAGGTGATGATTTAGAAATTCACCTCGACACGATTACTTTTCACACAGGAATGGTATAACTGCGATGGCTTCACGACACGATTAAGATTAATTACAATACAATATTTCAGAAGATAATAACAGGTAATCGATATTATGTTAAATTCGGTACTTACGGAGCGTTGAATTAGCGTTTAAAAATGCCTTGTAATCACGAAAGGTCCTTTACGATCGTCTTTGCAATGGCAAGTACATTTTTCCGTATTTCTGGTACACGGTATGTTTTCAAACGCGTCACAATTATTAAACGAGTGTTATTACGACTTTAAATTCACATTCATTCCACATGTAAAATCATTTATTACACTTATAAAAGTAAAATATATCCGGAAAACAACTAATAGCGACGCGGGAAATCTCACCTCCAAAAATATACTCATTGAACCGGAAGGGAACCTCTCGACCAATCAACGTCGCGGACGCTCATCATTCGTGCCTGCGATTCTCAACCGCGATACCTAGTAAGTCATATCAACATATTTCGAAGAATGTATATCTTTTAATTTACTAAATAAATACAAATAATTATTTATTCTACTCTGAAACATATTATTTTTGTATTTCCTTGCTATTGTATCAACATCTTTATATTATTTAATAAAATATTAAATAAATAGTACTACATGTCATATAACGTCTCGTGACTCACGTAGTACTTCAAATATATTTTTCCCAATATCTACTAATTAAAAATTTTTAATAAATAAAATTTAATACGACTCACCACTATCTTGAATCCTAAATATACATTATTCCCATAGATTTCAACCAAATCTCCATTACATGTGATTAGATTTTTTTATTCAACGTCGAGGTTCTCATTTTATATATCCCGCGCTAGATTCGAAATTCCGTTCGCAAATAATTCTGTTGCAAATCGTACCTTGGTATATGTGGTAATTCGATCGGTAAGTAAAGGTTGAAAAGCACTGTCATAGAGAGAATCTAGCGGATGGTTGTGTCGTCAACCGCGCGATTCAAATCGTGCGCCAAGGCAAGGCAATAAGGATTTGGTCAGCCGGTGAATGGTTTGATAACAAGCGGTGGAAGGCAGGCACAGGGGAGACGCACATTGCCCGGCGGTTGGCAGACCATTCAGTGACGCGATTCTTCACTGTCCGGCACTGATTTCAATTGGTAAATTGATTTGGAACGATGGCAAGAGAGAAAAAAGAGAGAAAGACGGGGTTAGACGGGGAGAGGTTCAGAAAGGCCATAGTATGTAGAAGATGATAAAGAAAGAACCATATACCACCACCGTGACTGGGTGTACCGTCACACAGCGCAGAAAACCATGGCGGTGGCAGTGGCAATGCCTCTCTTGCGAACCGTTAATAGGTACTGAACGCTGGTTGAATGCTTAATGCACCGTGCTTCTAGGATTAAATTGACCAATCATTTCCCGCGCGGCAAGGAGCGGCCAATTACAGCGTTCGTCCGACTATATTAAGCCAATCAAGAACAGTTTATCGCTCAGTCGTCAGTCTGCAGTTGTGATGCATGTGTCGTGCGCGTGTTTTTTTTTCTCCTCTTTCCAAACAATTCTAACTCGTGAAACAAACGAGTCGCGTGAGAAAAAGATGAAAGTTTGTCACAAATTCTTCGCGACAGTTTGCCATTTTTAACGATCGTTCAGTGATTTAGATCGCATTTTCACATTTAGCCTTTTTTGGCGCGGCGGATTTTTGCGAACGTTTGAAATTCGTCTGATTAAATCGAACAAATCGCAGTTGAAAGGAATTCTTCATTAATGATAGTTATTCGACGAACGTGCGGGGAAGAACTGTGCAGCAGTCCAAGAAACGCACGTGAAAAAGCTTGAAAGAAAATATATTTTACTATATACGTTCCATACATATGACAGAGCCTATCCATTTCCAGCGATAGTTCGTATTTCCTTCCTTCGAGATCGTTTCCTGTGATTACCGTGTATTTTTCTCTTCGTTAACTTTTCATTGATCGATCGAATCTCGAATTGTTTGGTACTCTCTTCGAAATTTGTTTGAAATGACAGTGTAGTGTTATTAAAATATTTCAACAATATTCCGAAGTTATTCGAAGATCAAAACGAACATCGAACGATTCCGAAGAATTGGGCACACCAGGTTGTTACATTAATAAGTGCGAAAGAACGCATCAATGGACACTAGTGTCAAATAGAAGTTAGAGGTCATGAGATTTCCTC